TCGAAAATGTTTTAAGGCTTACTACATGGGCAGAGCAGTGCTGTTGACAGCTGATCGCTTTACGTTGTCTCAATTGGAAAATTTACTTTATTGAATATTACTGTTATTTTTAAGAAAACTCACCGTTTTTTCCAAATTACTATGTCGAACGTTCAATATTATGTTAAAACTTGCATCATGAAGTAACGATATCTCCATACACCAACAAAAATGTACACACAATCACTGACACTAAACTCCCTGTCTCTTATACACATCTAGATGTGTATAAGAGACAGATATTACTGTTATTTTTAAGAAAACTCACCGTTTTTTCCAAATTACTATGTCGAACGTTCAATATTATGTTAAAACTTGCATCATGAAGTAACGATATCTCCATACACCAACAAAAATGTACACACAATCACTGACACTAAACTCCCTGTCTCTTATACACATCTAGATGTGTATAAGAGACAGATATTACTGTTATTTTTAAGAAAACTCACCGTTTTTTCCAAATTACTATGTCGAACGTTCAATATTATGTTAAAACTTGCATCATGAAGTAACGATATCTCCATACACCAACAAAAATGTACACACAATCACTGACACTAAACTCCTTCTTTGAGTGCTCAGAAGCCACTTTCGGGTAATTACTTTCATAAAATACTGAACATTATGAATGTACAGTTTCGGGTAATTACATTTATAAAAACTGAACATTACGAATATATTATTTAATTTGCTCTATGAATATCTCTAATAATAAAATATTCGTAATATGTGACTGAGAATAAGAGATGACAGGAAGATGACGAAGACAGGAAAGCGCATTAAAAGAGTGATGCCACATCTGTTCACAGTTAGTTAGACAATAGTTACAAGGCGAACAGACTCAAAGAAACTGGCAAAAATTTACCGTATTCAGCTTAATTTACTGCTTCTAGATTTTTTTTCAAATATTGTAGTTAGATTTATATTCTTATTATAAAATTGCAAGTGTTTGACATTCAAATTGGAATTTGCAGCTATTAAATAGTAATACTAAATACCATTCGTTGAGATATGAATTTTATAATTCGTTACTTGTTTGTTCTAAATAATGCGTTAAGTACTAATACATTATATTTACTGATTTTTTTTGTTAATAATGTTATTATGATTATAAAATCGCATAGTGCGTACCAAATGTTAGTTTTATTTTCCGTTACTCTTTTTGGCGTGCTGGCAACTACATTCTTCCCATTTGCATTATTCTGTTTCCGCCGCCATTTCAAACGTCGCGCATTTGCTTCCGATTCACTTGTGAGAAATTTTGTGAAAATTGTGAATTTATCAAAGAAATTAGTAATTTTATTAAATGTAAACAATAATTAAATGTTTTTAGTCTAAAATATGGCAAATATTTGAAGATTCAGTGTTTTACAAACTACCGCAAGCGAATTTAACAAATTGTTGTTGCTTCGAGCAGCAAGCAAAGCACTTCGTACAACTAATTTCGTTCGTGGGAAAGTGTTATTATTACGATTATTATGAAGCGAGCAGTATTGTGCTTCGGGGAATGAATTGCAACTACAAATTCAAAAGGTGAATGAGATTCTTTAAATATTTTAATATGATTAAAATTGTGTATATGAAATCAGCATACGGCAACAAGTAGTGATTATTGCTTGCTTGTTGTAAGTTTTGTTGTTGTATGCTATACCGTGTTTTGACTGCTGTAATTATGGTTTACCATATTTACCTGCTTGGGCGATCTTTGATAACTTATAATTGAATTATAGCAGATACTGTGAAGGGTTTATGGGTGCTAGAATTATGACAAAACAGTACGGAGGCTATGTGAAAACGGCATGCATGACAGTTTTACATTTTTTAATTAATATTTTAGTATTTATATTTTAAGCAAATTTTAAATTTAGGAAAAGAATGAAATCTTGGAGCACATCTAGTTGGCAACGAAAAAGGACATAGGTGAGAGGTACACAGTTGCAGAGCTTGTGTTTATATACATATATTTTTGGATGTATTGAAAAAAATGTATTTAGAAAAGCAATCCTAGAGGGTTCTTAATTACAACCTGAATTTGAGATCGACGACTATGCCAATGGTATATAAAGTATTCCCCTTGCCCCACTACATTTGTGTCAACGTTTTTAGATTGGTTTTTTGGCTTCGGCTCACTTTTAACACGATATGGGCATATATACAAGACTCACCGCTGTAATAAAACGTTTCATGAATGGATTTGGAATCAACACTTTAACTTTTCTTAGGCTGAAATGATCTTTCAAAAAGGTTCTCACTGATCCTTCCTATCTCTGACTGTTAATCAGAACTGCATCACAAATATTTTTTGATAATTTTAGTACATCTAGCTTTTTAGACTAATTAGAAAGCAGCGATGAACTTACATATTTTAGTTATCGTTCTCTTACTTTTATTGGCTTTATGTTTAGTTGATATGGGACAATGTTTGTAATGGTTACTTACTCAAATTATCTTCGAACGAAAAATAAAAGACGACATATTAGCGTTTTGGACTTTTATTGAAAACAAGGTACGAAAAAATTTTCACATACATACATACATTAAAATCACGGTTGAACATAAACTACAATACGATTATTTGATTAAGATTTTCATTTTCAATATTTTTGTGTTTACCATTAAATATCTATAAATGTTTATAGCTTTGAAATGTGATCAGCGTATATAACCAGAGCAATAAAAAAGGGTTATCAAATAATTTCTGCACTTTTTATCATATGAATGATGTTATATTAATCTGTTCTCTTTATACAGCATCCTCCGTTTTGAACTTGGGATCCGCTGACATAATTTTATAATCAAAACTTTACTAATGAAAAATTGTCTATAGACTTTAATCATTACACAGATAAACCCACTCACTCGCTTTCTCACAATTTTATGTATGTCACGCTGCAAGCAAACCCTCTGGAGCTTTAGTATAGCAATCCCTTAAAAACTGGTGTTACCATTTTAACAAAGTGGTTATTAACGCAAGTGTCATGTTTCAATTTCTTTTCACAACATATTTTTTATGTAACTGCTTTAAGGGGATATCCTATTCCAGAAATTTAAAAAATCGTTATTTTATGTCATATTTCAATAGCGAGAAAGCAATCTTCTCTAAAAGAATTTTCACAATTAATTGTTTTTAATTATAGTCGTTTAGTTTTAGTTTCGTGATTTTGACTACTTTTTAACTATTTTCAATTTCTGATCATTTAACAGTTTATTTAAAATTTAGAGCGCATATCATTTACAAATCTTTCGTTTGTATAAACTAACAAAACTTTTAAATACCTAATTTGTAATATTAAAAAATCGCTAAATATCTGATTTTTAATATTAAAATAATCGATATTTAGACGAACTCTTTTTTATGAAAATCTGTTTTTTGATTGGTTCATAAGATAATGAAATTTGTATTAATCAATCAATCCATCTTTGTTTTGTTGGATAGATAATATCAAGGGTCAAAAATCGCTCTAAAAGCGGGCTTATGGAATACAATACCTCCTCAATATTTTGAAATGAAAGAAATCTTGAGATAAGTATGATATCAAATCCGGCGAGTACACGCTTAAGACGAACGAATATGCAAAAACAGCATGGAAGATTTAGAGTGTCATTAAAGAGCTGTCCAATCGGAGATGCCATTCACACTACCTCAAGTATGTTTCTTTATTATTGGTTAGGGAGTAATCACCACCGATCCAAAGCCACTTATTAAGAGGATGATGCGGGTTGCCTTATCTGGAACTGGCTGCTCTATGAATTGCTATATATTCTTTGTTTTCTATCCAAAGTTCTATCGAGTTTTGAATAGCTTATAACTTTTGAAATTCATATCATCATATAAGTAAATATGACAAAAGGTTAGTTAGTTAGTTTTATGAGAGGTATTATTCATGAACCGAACAGATCAGTTCTCATTCCTCATTATCGAGATATTATTTGCCTAACCCATTAAATCAGTTAGCAACCACTTTGAGATAACATTGTTATTCAAAAATTAAATGGAAGATACTACGTGTGCCAAGAATAACAACAACGACTGTGAACCGTTGAATTTGATTTATTCGATGCGCAGACTAAAATCCATGGCATTTCAACTGAACGAAACTTTTTCTAAACACAATTTAGTGCTTTGGCGACCGTATTTTCTAAGCAAAATAATATCTTAGTAAAATATATAATTTTCTGGCAACAAAACTTAATCACATACAAAGCCTGGTTATATACTAATGCCCCAAATATATAATTACTTATTTTAAAGGGTGACTAATAATGCGCTTAAGTCTAGGAATAATTATTCTATTATCTAAGGTACAAATGGCAAATCAAAACATTTTATTAATTCAGTTGGCAAGTCATAACCGCTTAGCTTAACTTCGATTTTCTCCTCAAAATTGTTCAAAGAGTTAAGCTGTTATACCTTCTCGCCACCACTGAAATCGTGTAAAACGAAAGTGTGTTTTTATGCAAGTAAACCTTTATATTAATTTCTTATTACTTTTTAACAAACTACAGTGTAGAATTACAACTAGCACGTGCTTAAGTGTTCTCAGATTTGTTGCCGGTGAGTTGAGTGCTGCAAAGAATAGTATCTCTTGAAAGTAAGATCAATTTCAGATGATCACTGTACTATATAGTTTTGTAAAATCCATGTGTGTGCATTGCGTAGATTTTATTATTGTTATATTCTGTATTATTTCTTCTAATTTTGTATATGAAGTTGACTTTAAGGGAACCTTAGTGTTAAGGCCGATAGACTTGGCGGTGGTAGTAATGTTATGAATTTGAATATAAGACATCAATGATAGAAATATACGAGTATATTTTACAATATTTCGTTATTTATTACACTTATATACTAAAACTGTAGTTAGGTATGTATGTATATAGTCTGTCTCTTATACACATCTAGATGTGTATAAGAGACAGGTAGTAATGTTATGAATTTGAATATAAGACATCAATGATAGAAATATACGAGTATATTTTACAATATTTCGTTATTTATTACACTTATATACTAAAACTGTAGTTAGGTATGTATGTATATAGTAGAGCATTTAGGTGTATACAGGTAAATAAACTTAAACTACATTTCATGTAAGAGGCACGATAGTTGGTGACACACAGTAAAATCGATATTTATATAAAACCAGTGATACTTATAATTACATACAAATATTTATATATGCCAGTTGGTTCGAGTTGAGGTTTTTTTCTTTAAGTTGAATAAGTTGTTTCATATATTTTGCTATAACAATTAAAAAAAGTAGTAATCAAAAAATCTGGTAACGCTCACAAACTATACATGTTTGTATATAATTCACTTCGGTGTGCAGTGCCGCCATATATTTATGTAAACAATCACACTTACTATATTTGATTAAGCTAATTGACCATATACTGTAGTTTCTAGTGTGTCAGTGTGCTTCAACTAAATATTCAAAATATTTAACATCACAATTGGTAGAGAAATTAAAGTTAGAAAAAACGGTGATAAAACTTATTTAGCTCATTTGCTGTTGGTCGACCGTTTAGAAATGCGGCTTCATGCGTGCGTAGCCAATGAACGGCGCCACTGTGGAGAGCAGCGAGCACAAAATATTTGCGATTGTTTGTAGCGAAGCTGTAAGAAGTCAAAATTATCTTCATTATAATTCTTTATTTAAAAATATTGTTAATTTGCTACTCACCGCCGCTGCAAATGTCACGCAAAACATCTTCGAAGAATCCACTCTCATTGTCGCAGAGGCATAATTTAGTTTTGGAAATGAATTTCGATACACCAATTGTACGATTGAGACTCTCGAATTGACAAACCAAACCATCTTCACATTCATGGCTGCTGGTGCATTTGTGACGTAGACCTGGAAGTGACAATATTAAGGATTAGTTAGATCGATTGATCCGTAAACCATAACTGTTATATGTTATACTCTTGTTGCTGCAGAGTATAATAGTTTTGACGACTAGTCTGTCGAGTGACTGTCTGTCGGTCCGTCATACTATAATTTAAGTACGAACACACATGCCATTAAACAAACACCTACAAAGTGCCATAACTAAGCACTGAATTAAGATATATGGTAAAACTGTATTTTGGCACAGGCGATCGCAGTTGCAAGGCGCATCTGTGGATTAAAAATTAAAAAAAAAAACCGCGAAGGTTTAATGAACATATGTATATCCTAAACCACTTAATATACAATCACTAAATTCGCTCATGACAAATTGCCCAAATTGCCTCTACGAACGCTATAAAAATTTGTGAATTCGGATTATAAACAAATTTTTTCTCACTCCCCATAAAACAGTTTTTCTAAGAACTACTAAGGAACTTAAAATGTTTATTATCATTCGAAAGAATATTCTTAGGCATTAATTTCTGAAAGATTATCTCCTTCAAATATTGGCCGCGGCTACTTCTCTGATGTGTTGAGTTTAACTTTCTTTGGCTCGAGCAAGAATTGCTGGTAGCTGGCGAGTGACAAGCGTAATGTTTTGCTCCAAGGCTTGAATCGATTCTGGTGGCCAATCGACCGGTCCAAAACGTAAAATTATCTGCTCACTGAAGTGTTCTCACAATAAATTCACTGATTTATGAGATATGTAGAAAGCAGCGTGTGAAACCAAATGCTGCCGAGATCACGAGCTTCAATTTCAGGGCTCAAATAGTCGGTTATTATGGTGCGATAACGGTCACCATTGACGATTACATTCTCACCTCTCTTGTTTACATACCTATTGAGCAAGAAATAGGCCTCATTCCTGAGCAAACTTTGACTAGAATACGTCTTTCACTTTGATCCTTGCAGGTTGCGAGACTATAAAATATTCGGTTCCACTCGAACTTTGGACTTCCGTTTTGATACTTTCCAGGCGGATATAAATTGTTTAAATAGAACTTTGTGGCTTCCGTTTAACCAAGATATCGTAATGAATCATTGAAATGCTTAAGTATTTTCCATTATACAATTTTTGTCCGGAAAGTATTAGAACTGATTTTATTCCACCGCGACTGTACTAGATAACGAATGAGCGGCTGGTCAGTCGTCTCCGAGCACTTAGAGAGTCTGGGCAAACATTTTCGGTTGCCGTCTTTCTGTGAGTGGTGTAAGCCGAAAATGCAGCGTTCGTTAGAGCAGAGGTACGCGACTTAATTTTGTGTGAATAAATCTGCGAAAGAGACGTTTGATATGATCAAGCAGGCTTACCCAGATGTTGCTTTAGCAAGACACTAGTCCTGTTTGGAGGACCGGGAAGAGAGAAGTGAAAACGAGGCTCATTGCTCCTGGACAAACCGTCAACGCCCAGTTTGACGTGTTCTCAAGAAAAACTTAAAAGAAGGTTCAATCGGGTCCGACGAGACATCGCATCCAATTGGAAGATGCTACCTAACCAAGGCCAGCATACCAAACCTTTCCAGATGTGGCCCCTCGGCTTTTTTTTGTTTCCTTGTCTGAAAACGCCGATGAAAGGCAAGCATTTTGAGACGACAAAGGGTATCAAAGCAGAAAGTTTTTAAAGAAGGGATATATGAAAATTTCATATCGATATCTCAAATATTAAAGAACTAATTCTCGTATAAACTGACGGACAGATAGAGAAAATAAAATAAAATTGTCTCAGCTTGTCACGCTGATCATTTATATATTTATTTATTATAAATATATGAAAAATTCAGTGCTTGATCCAAAAAAGTTTTAACTTTGATCATTTATTCTGAGAGGAAAGAAATTCGGTATCATATTTTTCAAGAGGGCGAGTGACGTTGATTTCGACCTCTTATCATATGAAGTAAAAACAGCATCTTAATATGGATAAGATCCATGCGATAATCGCCATTTGTCCATCTTCAGAACCATCCACCATGAAAATATAGTTTCGAGGAAATTATTTCAAAGATATTTGCACTTTAGCTGACTTCCAAGCAAATTTTATTTACTACTACCAACATAATATTGATTTTTTTTTTATTTTAGATTGGTCTGACCGCTTAATAGATCACTTTCTTGTCAAACTCGTTTTAAATGTATGGTAGTAGCTAGGGCGAACTAGCTGTATCAGCTGCAGAAGACAAAAATGCTCCTAGCCCAACCCAAAATTGACTGTGACACAGTTATTTTTATACAAGTTGGCATACATTTAGGCGTTAGCCTGCTAAGTGCATTGTAAATAGTAACATATGACAAAGCAAATGTAAGCAAAAGGATATGCCATACAAGGCAAATAACGAAAATAAGATTTTAATAGGGACGATGCAATTAAAACAGAAAGGAAGCAATAAAAGAGAATTAAGCTTGCTTCAATAGTACAACTAAGAGGGCAATAAATGTGTAAAGAGAATTAAGAAATAATAACAACATAACAATTATTTTTGTTCTATTATTTAGATATACTTGAAAAAGGATGGATGCTTAGTTGATGAGATCATTAAGATTAGTGAGAGTGAGTAACCTTGCAGAGTTGTATTTAAGCAGCACAAATATTTGCACTCAACTATAGAACGCGTCAAAACTTGCTGACACGAATGACAAGTAAATATAGTTAGACACGATTTATTAAAAACTAGAATAAATGGAATTCGTGCCAATTGTGTTGTACAAATATATATACATATATAAACATATGTATTTGTATGTTTGCTGTTGCAAATAAATGCATGCAAAGATGCATATTTCCCACTCGACCATCTGTGTAAGTTAATTGGCGTTGAAATTATTGCTGCAATGAAGCAATTAAATGAGCGTTGCACACGCTTATGGAATGCCATTAAGTCATAAGGAAATAACTGTGTGTCATGCTGCACTACCATGAGTACAATGGCTTGGCGGGTTGGCGGTTAGCGGGTAATCGACGACACTTTCTTGTGTGCAGAAGAATTTCGTGTCAGTGCACACGAAGTGGCAGCAAAAGCCGTTACATTGTGTTTACAAATTATAAGGCAGATCTATAATGGCATTTTTTATTGGCTTTTGTATGCGGAAGATTGCAAGAATTCTACTACCTGTGTGCATGTGTGTGGGCACAAGTTTATGTATTTATAGGTAATTCAGATTTGAAGTTTCCTTGCAGTTATGACATTGCATCAAATTGGCTTGCAATCATGTCACCACTCTATTATTGGCCACTACTACTACTACAGTGCATAACTATTACTCATACGCCGTGTTGACTGCACTTGTATGAATAATTTTGAACAACGTTCCGGAAATTAGTGCTGGTTGGCATTATTCAAGGCTAATGAAATTAACAAAATATCTACATGCATATTGCGGTTTTATGTTCCAAATAAATTTTGTACTCTGAGATTATGACGGATATCGAATGTAAATGTAGGAGAAGCAAATGGTATACGTTTTTTTAAGCGGTGAACATTTCATTTATTTTACTACAAAGTACTTATAAATATTAGTATTAGTATTTTCCCTGGATACTAAAAACTAAAAAGAATAAGAAAGCAACGGTAACTTAAGCTTCACCTATGTATTGGACAATAATCCATGCCAATATCTGGTCATGTCATGCGTAGATATCTCGTCAAATGCAACTATTTGAGAAGAAAAGAACATGTGCAAGTTCGATTATATACAGACAAACGACTCATCATATTGATCATTTGTATACGTTCTTCCTGTTTTTTAATAGTAGGAGGAGGAGTAGGTAGGCTGAAGTGCGGAACTTTATCCCCCTACTCCTTACCTACTCTCCTCTCATCTCTCTCCGATGGGACCATTGGCCAAAGAATTACTTCAATATGGACTGAGATGTTTGCTTACCCATGTCCGCTGAGTTTTGGGTCAGGAGAAAGTCCAGTTCTTAGATGTTTCTTCCTGGGTGTTAATAAATTCGTGGAAAATTACCATTTTCTAATAATTGTAATAATGATTTAAGATTTCTACAAAGCTGCATATCACCGATTTTTTTCTCCGTTTAATTTACCCGGATATCATAGGAATGAAGGGCGGTAAATCGCGGGTAGGGCATTTTTAACTTAGCGATGTCGTTTTTTATACTCTTGCAACCAATTGCTACAGAGTATTATAGTTTTGTAAAACTAACGGTTGTACGTGTCACCTAAAACTAAACGAGATAGATATAGGGTTATATACACATATATAAATGATCAGGGTGACATGAAAAATTGAAATCCGGTTGACATTCGTAGACTACCACGTCCACAAATCGCCATTAACCGTGTCCCCACCCTCTAATAAGTTTAACGTGCATATCTTCTAAACCGCTTAAGCTACTTACGGTGTGAAAATTGGATGATCTCGGGACCCAACCGACTGGCTTCGATAAAATTTGGTACTGTGAAAATGAGCGTAATCGGGTAATAGCCACGCCTACTTCCCATAAACACAATTTTAAATTTCATTTATGACTAAAAATTGTTCAAATCCAACAAAAACTGTTCATGCCCTAGGTACCTAATATTCAGACCCTCGTAACTATGTTGAATTTTGTTAGAAAATGTCGGTCAATGTCTAAGATATATAACTGAAATTCAGGGATAGTACTTCTCTGATAATGGTATGTCCGTATGTCAAAAATAGGATAAATCGGACCAATACTTCCCTTAATCCCCATATATCTAATATAAAGATAATCGAACTTTCGGGTGATTTTGTACCGCAAATATAGGCCAATATGTGAGTTATCTCAATGAAAATAAAAAAGCGTGTTTTATTCGTAACAGTGTATCTTTGTGCCAAAAATATATACAATTGAGCGAAAGCTTGTCATAGTCCCTATATAACTAACATCAAGATTTTCGAACATCCATTATATGCATTATACTGCATATATCGACCAATATTTGGGTTATCTCAATGAAAACTGCAGAACTTGTTTTACTCGTAACAGTGTTTCTTTGTGTCAAAAATAAATAAGTTTGATCGAAAACTTGACTTACCCCATATATAACTAACATCAGGATTTTCGAACATCCGACTAACTTTACTCTATATGATTAGTTTTTTAGTATCTGACATGTTAACAGTATGTGGTATTGGGAAAAATAGATGAAATTGGGTGGATACTACCCTAATGGTTTTCGTTTTTCTAACCAACCGTATGTGTATGTCAGCATATGAGTTATATATAGTATGCATGTGTGTTAAAATTGCTTGCATTTTGATTCGCAGGTTGACGTTTTATGTCTTCAGGTAATTGCCTTGCTTTGATACCTGAAAGTTGCAAGAATATAAAATGTTCGGTAGCACTCGAACCTAGTCTTTTTTTTTCCTTCGAAATAGCGCTCATTAGACCAGTTATTTATTTTTTCTTTTGGTCTGGAGACAGAAAAAAATCAATCGGTTCTACAGAATAAGATGTAAGCGAAAGCAATTCGAAATAATTTCGTAATTTTTTTTCATTTAACGGATATACGGTACCTTGATTCCATCGGCTACAATCCGTCAAATGTAGATTGTTTAAAATCGTATATCAAAATGTAATATAATTCCTCACGAAGCAAGTGGCCGAAAGCTATTAAATTTTTATAATTTTGCAACATCTTACTACAGTGCCTTGGGGAAGCATGGGTTCGTCAACTAGCCTCAGTACGACTCCACACTGAACTGAATTTTCAATTCCACCTGCTTTAAGTTTTATCCACAGCCACCATGAATCTCCATAAAAAGCTAAGCCCAATTGGCAGCTTGGAGTGAACTCCAAGAGCTAACTTTTCCCAGTGGTACCAGATTTATGTTTCCGGCCAGACCTTGTAGCTTTTGCTACTACCAGTTAAGCAGCCATCAAACTCAATGACTGGTAATATTCAAATGCCTCTTCATTAGAAGGAATCTCGTTTAAAATCTATAATATCAGTTCAAGCTGAACATTATAAAACTATTTCTGACAAGACTATGCTGAAATTTCAAGGCAAGTCAAAAATGAGACACAGGGCATATTCTTACAACAGGCATTCCTTAACGCGGGCAAATTCTACTCCCTGCCCACTGAGGAAGCCGGGATCTAGTCAATCGATTTCAACCAAATTCGATAGATGATATTATCCTGATATTTCTATGTGTGAAAATGTGTAATATAAGGCAAAACCATGCCATGCCACACAAACTTAAATTCCACCTGATCCTTCCAATTTTCAGTAAGCAAATCAAGAACCAATTAATACTATGTATCGGGATAAAGCTTTGAACGAACAGTGCCTTTGAGGTGTATCACCTTATGACAAAAAATATCTGAGAATAATACTCGACCAAATTGAAAGGTATTCCATTCTCTAGGGTTCATAAACGATGGTCTAAAAATTATGGTTATCGGAAAATTTATCGGATTATTATTTCATAGCTTTTGATATTTTTTGAGCATATTTTGTGCAGCATATTATTACTACTTTGAAGGATTTTTTGTTTTTGTATCAACTCACCTTTTAGCACATCCTGGCAATGTCCATTAACCGGCGCCGAATCATCACCACACAGGCAACGATGCTTGTAATCGTTGGGATCCTTAACGCAGCTGGTTTTATCTATCGTTATGCAGTCATCATGGTTGTTACATTCCTTGCCCTTAACTATTTATTTGTTTATTTTTTTTATGGCATTCAGTAGGGATAGCGGAAACAAAAACGAACAAAATAACAAAAAGAATATTTGATGAATTTATTTCGATACAAATTGGGTATATATATGTATATTTGTATGTTTATGTTTCTTGCATAAAAAATTTGTTTCATCAATAGCTGATTTCAGCTGTCATTTCTATTTGCTTTGCATGCAAATTTCAAGGTTATAACCACACAAAATTCCACCTGTCACTCAATAGGTACTCACTAATTTCATTTGATTTCTTTTATAGTTTTCCTTATTACAAATTAGGCGTTGTAAGCACAAGCAGAGCTTACTCAGCTAATATTGTAAACAATGTTTCATCGAAATTTCAACGCACAAATTTGTAAATATGCAAAACTAGTAAAGAATTAGCATTAGTCACGAAAGCTTTCAGCCGCTTGCAGGGGACAAAGAAATAACAAGTTGATACGCAGCCAAAAATCGCTGAGATCTCTCATCGTTTTGCGCACCTAAAACAGTATGAGCTACTCTTTTCTCATTTCTACTTTTTTTGCATAACTAGTCGACTTGATAATCAATAATGATTTTATTGCCCAAACTGGAACTAACTCCTTAACTCTGGCTCATTAATATTCATATTCACATTTATTGTTCAAGTCATTAATTTGGTGCATGTTTTTGCAGCTCTTATTCGAGTTCTTGAGTGTGTTGACAAACCAGTTTTATAAAGTTGATAAAAAAAAGGGCACGTGCTATCTTTTCATCGATTTTTTGTAGATGTAGGGCTTGTGTAGAGGTATAGTCCATGAAGCTGTATCATATCTAAACTCTCTCATAACGAAAAACAAAAAAAAAAATGAAGTTTATGAAATTGATGTTGAATTTCTACGAAATAGAAGAAGAAGTTTTACCAAATCACTCCAAATCTGGATGGTATTTATAGATGAAGTTGTAAAGGAATGGTTAGTGGTTTAAAAACTATAGTTTTTTATTTACGAAATTGGTCGTCTCCTAACTACAGATTAATCTTTACAGTTTTAAATAGAACTTTGTGTCTTTTGAGGAATTAGAATATCGGGGCACATTAGCTAAACTGTCATTCGAAATTAATATTAATTTTGGTACACACTGTATTTAACTATGAAGGCACAGGTACTATAGCGATTCATAATTTCATATAAAAGCCAAATAAATAAAATATGTACTCATCATTAAAATCCCTTTAAAAATAAACATACTATTATAATTTGGTAAATAATTAATTTTAATTTTTTTCAAAAATAGAAAATGTTTTATCATTTTGAATATAATTTCATAATGCCACTCGCAGAGAAATTTTTGTCAATTGACAAAAAACTGAGTTGGACTAGCTTCTCTTGAGATGCATTTTTCAGTAAAAAAAATCATTCGCAATGCAAGTAACAAGTAGTAATCGCTTGGTGCCAGGTCCAAATTTAAAGGTGAGTTCATAAAAGTCTCCCAGCCAAGCTTCCGGGGCTTCTGGCGACGCCTTATTGTTGTGTGAGTTTGGCTGTAATGGAACAGATCATAGAACACGATTCCCTGTCAAACACACCAATCTTCCTGACCTTCAATCCAGTCTTGGCCACCGTTTTTGCACCGCGACTCGTACACGACCACTTTGGCATGACTTTGTTGTAATTTTCATTATTAGTAGTTACGGTTTACCCGCTTCATAAATGGACTGACTTGGTTGCGATTCAGCAGAAATCTTGAAATTCGGGTCAATACGATCACATAGCACCCTTATATTGAGCATTTTTTGGATGCAGCCTTATTTAAAAGGTTTCCAAAAGGGTTGTGTGTAATGCTTAGCTCTGGGAAATGATAGCAGTGCTTACTTAGCGATCGGACTCGATGATTTGTTTTATCGATTTTTCGACAGTTCGTTTTTCAGAACGTGATGCATCTTTGACATCAAAATTAGCGGAAGATCGTTGAAGACATGCCCCGTTCTGGATTCAACCTTTTCAGTTGATGAAAATATTAAAAAAGTGAAGGATATGATGCTTGAAAATCGTCAGTCAAGTGTTAGAGAGATGGCAAGAGAGTGCGACATTTCTCGCGATTCTCTTCGATCTATCGCGAACCTCTTCGAATGATGGTGGATATTTTCGAAATGAAACACGTTTTTGCTCGACTCGATCCTCCAGTCAAAACCATCGATTAACCAATGTATTCGCTGAATTTAGATCCTTATACCTCTTTTGTGTTCTCCAAACTCAAATTCGTTGTAGGAGCTGAAGGCCTTCCCAAAATGTGCTTATGTAAAGTATATAGAGCACTGGAAATCATTGGCATATACATATGTATTACATCTAGTAGGAATTACATTGTCTGCGACAAAATAAATTTTGATGAATAATTAAATACTTTGCGTTTTATTTACAAATTCCGGGTTCTTTTTTGTGACAATATATGTTTATTTATTTTTCATCAATTCATTTGAAATCGCCTACATAATAAATAGCTATAATAAAAACATCCAATCCTCTCAGTTTCAAAATGTTTAATAAATTCACAGTTAAATGCAATTTAAGGACATATCTAACCTCCAAGACACATCTCTTTCAGCTGATGCAAATAAAAATGTAAACTACGAAAAATAAGTATTTTTACAAACAACAATCGAGTAACCTTCATCAAAGACCCCTTAAAAGCTGCATGCACCCCATTTGCCAATCCCGTTAATTGTGTTTCCAAACATCTGCAGCTCGCGCATTTCTTTGTATTTTATTACAAATACTACGCTGACAAAATTACGATATTCTCAGAGACTCACACGGAGCTCTTAGCAAATCATATCAATTGTCCAAGTAAATAACTGTTAATGCGCTTACAACGCTTGCGAATCGGCAGAAATTATTCAGACACCTGCACACTTATTTGATTTGTCTAACTAAACGGCTTGTATATATGTACATATGTGTGTTTGCAGACAAGAAAAAAATTCTGACAAAAGTTAATGAATATTTTGTCATGGAAAATATTAAGCATATACCCCACACACACATAGATACGCTTGCATTGAAATAAATCTTTTGACAAATTATTGAAAAAGCAAATTGAAGGCGACTGCAATTATTATGAAATTATTAATGGATCTACATTTACACACACATGCACATAGCTGATTATTAAGGTCGCCAGAAAAATCTGACTAATAGTTAACATTACTACTAGAGGATTTAGAAGTAATTATCTTTAATCTTTAAATCTATTAGGTTCTTGACATTCGTTTATGGTATCTACTTAATTTAACTATTAACTACGTTTGACATGTGTCAAAACGACAAACTTTACTTATATTAGCGATTGTTCAAGGCTGATACACTGATGTCAAGTTATTATTAATAACAATGCTAATTTTGAAAACATATATAATACATTTGAAAGGAATTGCTTTGTAATAGAACAAATCCTACAATATATGTATATTAGATAAATATCGAGCGGGAATTGTAATAATATTTTTGTTCAAGTTTCACATCTTTTCCAACAGTTAATTAAGAAAGAAAAATGTATTTGATAATTTTTATTTTTATGAAAAAGTTTCCATATTCAACATGCTGACAAATTAAAGTATAAAAATGTATACTGAGAAAGAATGAGCGTAATAGACCACTTTCAATACGCAGTGAAGAAAATAAAGCAGCCGAGCTTAGAGTGTACACGAAGACCGTGTAGAATCGATTCGGCTCCGTTCGCAGCAACTCGGACTGACTAGTGGGACGACTTGCCGCATTTTACGTCGAAATTTTAAATCAAAAGCATACAAAATACAGCTTGTACAATAACTGAAGCCGCTCGACCTTCCCAAGTGACATCGCTTCGCTTTATGGTCTCCTGATATGTTCCAAGAAGATCCGACGTTTCCGAGCCAAGTTTTTGGCATTTGTGTCTCAAACGGTATGTAAATAAGCAAGCGTTTGGGACAAATAGCAACATTAAGAGATTCAAGAGCTGTAAACACAAAGGTTTGTGGACTGGTGAAATCACTTGTCCATATTTCTTCAAAAATGATACCGATGAGAACGTAACCGTCAAATGGGATAACCGACTGTTTGATTCCTGAAATTGCAGGTCGTGATGTTGGCAACATTTGGTTTCAACAAGACGGCGCCACTTCCCTCACATCGCATCAACCAATGGGCTTTTTCTTGGCGGAAATTCTTGCAGTTGGGAAAGGCGGCGAGATAGCTAACATGCAGGAAATATATAAATATATTCTTCGATAGCCAGACGGAAATTAAGACAATAATCTCAGATCGCATTACGTTAGATAATGTGTTTAGAAGCATGAAGGCAGTAGAAATAGCGGCTGCTGGAAGTGGCTGCATATATAGTACACTGATTTCCAGGCCACAAAGGAATTCCGGGAAAGGACTAGCGGATCAGGCGAGATGGAATGCGTTAACTCCTTGAAAGATCGCCAAAAGTACCTTAGAAAAACTTACATGGTTTTTACTCACGTAGTATCGGCTGCCGGACAGATGTTGGCCTCTTGACAGGTTACAACCTGCTAGGATCATATGCGCGCCGGATGTGCATAAGTACCGACGATACATGCAGGAAAAGTTGGAATGAAATAGACGTTGAAACGCCTACTACACCTTTGCCCAGCTTACTTAGAACACGTCTTAAGTATCAAAGAGCTTCGGAGTTCAAGTGACTAGGCAAAATATCAAACTTAGAGATAAAGTCGCTCTAAAAGTTTGCAAAAAGTATCCTTTATTACGAATACTTCACCTCAAACTAAACTGAACCTCCATATGACATCACTAAGGACCAGAAGGTCTTTGTATGGCATGACAACCGGTCAGTATAACGTAACTTAACCTAGCCTACCGATAGGTCATCATTATAAGAAAATGTTTTCAATGTTTTGTGGAAAAAGGTATTACATAAATGTTCGGTGCCGACAATCACCAAAACGAATTTTGTAAAAAGACTTATTAAGTCTTCTAAGTATCGTTGCTGGGGCTAATTGAGTCTATGTGACTTAGGAGAGGGCACAATAGACCTAAGGTCACGATACATTCCTCATCTATCAATCTAATCTAATGTAATCGTCACATAACGACGGTTTAAAACGTGCTTATTTTACGCCTGATAAGATAAACAATGAGAAAGCTAACGATGTTTGAGAAGGTCAATTTTTCAAATAACAACTTGGATTGTTGTTCCATAATTTTCTCGCATATTTTCAACAAATAATGATATATCTTCATAAAAAATATGTGCATTACCTCCAGTATGATGTAACTTTTTAAATTATTAAACTTTTTAGTTAGCCGAAATACTAATATTATTAAACTTGGATCGATCTCATGGGTTGATCTTTTCAACAAATAATGTACTGATTCATAACTGTAGTTAAGTAAATTATTTCGAGTCCAAATGTTAACACAAGGTGCGATCCAATGGAAACAAGAATCTAGCGTCCCGTGGTGGCGCCATTTATATGTTAAATTTGCATTGGAATCTGCTATCTGTATCGATTGTTCAGTAAGAATTTCATGACATTTCATGAATGGGAAGTGAAGATCTTGCGTTCTAAGCGTCAGTATAATTGTGTTATCGGTGCGAAAATGAGCTTCAAATAAAGAGTCAACATTAAATTTTCCTTTAAAATTGCTAAAACTTTTTCGGAAATGTTACAATTGATGAAACAAGTTTATGGCGATAATTTCCTATCTCGTAGCAGAGTGCTACAACGAGTGGTTTCAACGTTTTCAAAGTTGTTAGTGAGGAAATAAATGACGATCAACATGTGGGCCAATCAAAATCCATGATCACCGGAAATTCCATCGAAACTGAGCATCATCAAAAATTAGCCGAAAACATCATTGAAATTCATGGAGATAAAATTGAACATTTCCAAAATATCGATTTATCGCATTTTGATCTGGTTTGTTGTTTACCTTGGAACGCACCTTGTATCATGCTTTTATCACCATATTTTCTGGTTCTTAAGGGGTTTCAAAAAATCGAATATTTTATTCTCTTATTAAATTCTATAATAGCTGTAGAATATTGTCATAAACTTTCAAGTTGATCCGAGTAATAGTTTCGAAGATACTGCCGTGAGGTCTTCTGCGCTCCAGCCTAGCTAGACTAAGTGCGCCATCTTCAAACGCGTTTTTTCTCGAAACTGTGTTTTTGAAGTCGGTTGGCAAGATTTCTTTAGAACTAGTCCACCGTGTGGTGCATGTTTGTAATAATAAAAATTCTAATACAATATTTAATTTTTTATGAGAAAAAAATTCTTAAAAAAATGCAATGTTTTATCCGAGGAAATCCATGTAGCCAATCAATCTTAATTAAAAATATTTGCAGTTAATTATAATTAATGAAGGACGCAAGCAATATATTAGTAAAGATATATCGATTGCTTCAATTAAACTTTCTTCGGGCGAGTTTTCACTAAACTGCATACACTAGAATATTTGTATTTTGTTTTAATTTATTCTAATATTTATTCTAATAATGTCTACAATCACTAAAAATAAGCTTAAGTTTAAAATGAATTCTAAAAAATGAATTATATTAAGTATGCTTAAGAAAATGTTTGAAAACAGAAGTATTGAATAATAACCAAGGCTTTTGCATATCAACATTTATTTAATAGAATTAATAAAAATTTAACACCCCAATGCAACTAAATACAATTATGGGTGTGTCTAACCTATTGACGAGGAGTGTTTACATACTTATACGAGTAAGCTCCTTTTTGTTTATGTTTCGATAAATGTTTATGTATATTTCAGATTATTTTATATTTTCAAGAGTTTTACAGATTGAAGTAATATTATAGAGAGCTGAAATGGATATATAATAGTAAATGGATAATTGTGCTTATCACTCTGGGAAGCCAGGTTATAGACCATTTGAGAATTGCTATAACTGTGCCAATCGAACATTGTTTGAAAACATTAATATAATTGTTTCCAAACTATTATTATTTGACACTACTGTAGAAATTACTAAATTACGATGACGAGGAAAGATGTGTAGATTCGTATATAATTCTTCTAATTCAGGCTTCTTCCACTCTATATATTATATTAAATTATGTTCTTATGTTGAAACTTACTTATTGGTGTTGGCGTTGGCTTTTCATTATTCGTCTTGCCAAAAGTTGTCAAAGCAGTCGAACTGACACCGAAGAGTATAATGAAGACGCCAAAGAGCATGGTTAGACTGCCACATTGTGTGAACCGTTTTAGAGGCTGCATTTCGGATAGTTTTTGTTTTTTTTTTTATTAAAATTCAAACTTCAACTAAAAATCGGTAGTTAGTTCAATGTAAAGAATGTTTGTGCTCTTTTTCGGCTTCTATTAAGTAGTGCGCGAACACAGGCGTATGAATAAAGTCGCTTAGTTTTATGCAAATAACACAAATTTCTGTTACTGTTTCTTTAGTTACGCCGCACTTAATAAGCGACCACTTCCGTTGTGTTGTCGTGGAGCCTTTTGTGGGCGCGAAAAATAGGCGTCAGCGGAGTAGCGCTTATCGGGTATGAGCGTGAGTGGAGTTTCACCAGTGCGCGACGCAGTTAAATAATTTTTTTTTTTTTTTATTATTTAATTATTTTTGTGTAGATTAAACTGTTTTGTAAATGTTTACATTAATTTTAGAGTTTTGATGTTTGAAATTTTTTTTATTTTTTTTCTTTAAAACACAAAAACTTTTTCCACTTTCAAGTTCAAATGACGCTCAAGTCCAGCATCGAGCTCGAGTTACGCAATATTTGCAAACTGCACTCAACACTGTTGATTATAATCAAAATATGTGTGGATTTGCACTTTATTACAAGACACTCTTCATTAACTTTGGTTTCAAAGAGCTGTTGAATTTGAAATATTTCTTTTTTTGCTTTGGCTTAACTTAGCTGAGAACCCGATTTTAATTGCTTCTTGTCGGTTGAACGTTCTGATTGCAAGTGAATAGTTTTGCAGTCAACTCCAAGTTTAAGTTCGGTTTGCTTTTGCAGCCTATCGCCTCACTGCCTCACTATCGCCACCTCGCTGCCTCTCTCTGTCTCTGCTCGCCGTGCAGTACTTGACACGCCAACCAACGCACCGAGGCGAGGATTGTAGTGCCTCACAACCAGGCGCACACACATTTACATTCTTACATTTTCATGGAATACACTCATACGTAATACTGGTAAACAAATACGTATGTATGTATATGTACAGGTAGTTGGGACAAAAGGGGGTCACATGTGCGGCGCATGACTCCCTCCTGTGGTATGGTGGCAGTAGCGCGAGTAAATCGGCTATAAATCGTGTTCATAAGAAATTATTTGAGCGCAAGAAAGTGAAAGATTTGCCATTTTTTTACTTTTTCACTTACTTTCGTATGCCTACCAATCTTTGTTTTGATTTTTCTGTTGTTATTACCTATGTATATCACAGGTTAGAGTGTGTAAGTACGAGAGCAGTTTGGCGAATCAATGAATTTTGGTATGAACTTACACCAAAAGCGTCCATTAATGCAATAATTCGATATTGGTCGGAATGTAGGATATTTATGATTGGACCTTATTAGTGTGGCTTTAGACCTGGCCAATGAACAACTGAGCAGAAATTCACCATACCAATCTTGGAAAATACCGATGAAAAGAGGATCGACGTCTTTCGTCGATTTTAAAGCTTATTTTGACAGCACGAGCTACCTTTATGGCGCGGTGTCTGAATTTGGTATTCCCGCAAAACTAATAGGGCTGTGTAAACTCACGTTGAGCAAAACCTTTTGGTCTCCTTCAGGATGAGAAAGAACCTCTCCGAGATGTTCGATACCAAGCGGATTGAGTAAGAAATTGATAAATAAAGTCATCTCTTGATGAACAAAGATCAAATTGGAACTTACAACGTAAGTCACTCATTATTCAAGTCCTGCTATTTGGTGCATAACCTGAACGATGACAACATCTGGTGAGTCGACGTTATGAATTTTTGAGAGAAAGGTTCTTCGAAAAATTGATGGTCTTTTGCGCATTAGCAACGACAAAAAGTCAAGTCAAAAGTCAAAAGAAACACTTAAGCTTGTTGAATAGTAAAGATTTTCGTTCCAAGCTGAAACTTCTCAGATATCGGCTTATCAGTATGAGAAAACAATTTTTTGTGACATCCAAAGGAAACGTTAGATACCCCATAGTGTAAATATATAAATGATCAGTCTGATGAACTGAGTCGATATATCCATGTCTGTTTGTACGGAACGGCCGATGTCGTACCACTATAACATATAGCTGCAATGAAAACTGAAGGATCGGAATAAAGTGCTTGTATGGAAAGTTTTCTCAATTGACGAGATATAGTCACAAAATTCGCATAGGCCATCGAAGACAGTTCAGATCGAGACACTACAGCATATACTATACGCAGCTGCCATAAAAAATTACCGATCAAAGTTCTTAATAGCTACGGTGCAGTCTTTTTTCTAAATTTGACTTGAGGGAAATCCTTCAAGTCTTTAAGACTTGTATCTCAAAGACCTTTGTAAAATTTCGGCAGATCTTGTCAACCGACTCCAAAACACGGTTTCGAGAAAAACGCGTTTAAAGAAGGGGCACTTAGCCTAGCTAGCCCGAGCGCACATGTTCTCAAGGCTGTATTTCCGAAACCATTACTTGGATCAATTTGAAATTTAGGATCATATTTTAGCATTGTTGTAGAATTTAATAGAACAATAAAAAAATTTGATTTTTTGAAACCAGTAAACCCATGTAACTTAAGATAACGTAGGCAAATACAGTGTTCCTCTCAAGCTTATTTTTGATTACGTATTCCAAAACTCACAGATTTAACAAACGATTCTTGTCTGCCTGTACACCTAGCCGCTTTACTGCGCTCATTTGTTGCCATTAACAGTACAACGTTAAAATGATTGGATTCGTATTGGTGTCGCCTAGGCGCATGATTACCATGTATTCGTAACTTCATGCCACACGACCTCGTCCTCGTACTGGGTAACGATTTGCATGCGCGTCTACGAAAATCCGAAATCAAGTGAGCTGGCCGCCCATGTTAATGATGATGATGAGGACGATGATGACGACGTTGTCGGCAATGACGAAAGGCAGAAGGCGAAGGCGAAAGGTGAAAGTGGCCTCCATAATGTTTGGCCCAAAAGAGCGGGCTCAGCGCCCTTAGCAGTTGAGCGATTTGGCTAACAAAACTCCAGTTTATGCTAAGTTGTAGCCATAGCCAACTAACTTCACTTATGCAGCTGTGCCTGAATACATATACACTCATACATACATACATACCATATAAAGTCGTAAATATATGCATTTATTTGTGCTCATGTAGCGTTTGCATGCAAATCTTGGTACAATTTTGTTGAAAGTAAAAGTAACAATTGCCAACAGCGAGCAAATTCACGAATATCGTCTAAAGCGAATGTTTTACAACACCAAAACACGACACAACATGCCAAAAAAAAAAAACAAAAAAATAAAAATAAAAAAACAACAAACACGAAAAAAATTATAATGAAGGAAGCGAGTGGGCACGCCCACTTAGTTACATATAGGTACTTGTGTATGTGTGTGTGCGGGTGTGCATATTTATTTTGCCAAAAATACTCATAATGCCACTTCTGCACCTAACGGTTATTACACTCGCGCTTCGACAGAATGTTGGTCACACACACATACACAAATAAATATGGATGTCATTACCCATATATACAATTTTTGGTCACTCGTGTATGACTAGTTAATATTTTCTGCTGCTGGGAAGCTTCCTTAGTCGCCATTTGCATACACACACAGGTGCATATTATTTTGTATATGTACTAATATATATAAGCAAATACTCAAGCGAAACTAACTAAAATTTCTAGTTGTAAAAATTCGTCCGAATTACATGGAGTTACTCTAATTAGATGCGATTTCCTTCCAATGTCGGCAATGTGACATTAATCATAGTAATTTCGAAACTATTGCGGTTTTTGAAGTTGAACATTGTTGCTGGTGTTCAAAACATGTGTACCTATATTACTTTGGGGTTTGTTGACATAGTTCAATAATCATGTATTTGCTGACAATGCTGACAATTTTCAACATAAAATTTGGTATACTCGTATGAAGTATTCATGGCGTTCTTTAAATTATGTTAGTTATTAAAGCAGATTCCCGAAGTAGAACATTTCTTGAGAACAAAAGCGGGCAATTGTTTTCTGCCACCAAAAACTCCAACAGATGAAGCTGAGCACATATTAAACTGGCAATGACAAAAAAAAGCAATTTGTTGTATTTTAATATAAATCTTTTTATTTCCGTCAGAATAAGTTCCTAAGCAAAGACAAGCAAGCCAAGGCAGAAAAAAAATTCCATATACTTCTATAAACCTCGGCTGAGATCATCCTCAAAGCCTTAAGTGGATTTTAGTATTTTCGGTTGCGCTTAATTTTTGACAGGTGAAAAAAATGGCGCATCCTGGTGAAATTGATCCTTACTCTCCTTGTGGTCTGAAAAAAAATCAAAAGAAATTCTTTATCAGTAAGGATGCTGTTATAGTCCCTACCTCAGGGAACACGAAAAGAATTTTTTCTGAAAAATGGCGAATGCCTGAAAATAAAAATAATTTTTTACGCTTTTTTTTGAAATTCGTGAATTTTTTTTTTAATATTAAAAACAAAGGATTAAGGATTATATAAAGATAAAGAATAAATAATTATATAAAGAAGGTTCACACAAAATTTCAAGTAAATCGGTTGTATAGAACTTGAGATAATGCCGGTACCGTGTGGAAAAAAGTAGTTTCGCGAAAAACGCGTTCAAAAAAGTGAATCAAATTTCAGGCAGTCTAAGTAATTTATTAGTGCACCAGGTACTGCGTCACTAAAGTAACTGTAGCTCTTAAAATAATTTTAATTTTTAAAAATCTTTTGGAGGGTATGTTCTTAAGGGTCTAAACTTTAAATATATGAAGGAAAAAAATTGAATTTTTCAAAATTCTAGCGTAGAATACCCCTTTAATGAATATAGGGTCGACAGCCGTATTAACAAGCGTCCGCTACTCAACGTCGTTTTTGCAAAAGATTCTAGTCTTTGGTAAGAGTTACGCATATCCCAAATATTAACCAAAATGTGCAGAGTCGATCTATGAACGATGGTGAGATCCTCTGCTATCTTGTTGTTGTCAACATGACGTTTTTCAAGCACTGTTACTTTAATTTTTTTCTATAATACAGGTGGATGGACGACTGGCATGAGTCATGTTTTCGATGGCTTTACCATCTTAACTGAATGCTTTCTTTAACTCAGCTACTCGTGTTACAAAATACTTCTGCAACATTTTCAATGATTTCGTTGTCTGGATTCCGTTGGAAACATAAAATTTGAAACAAAGCCGTTGTAAAATTTTCCATGGTAAAAATCGCGGGTAAACTCTTCGCATCGTAAACAAATAGTTGCCAAAGACTAACTGACATGTGGAAATAAAACTTCACTACAAAATAAAAATGGTTGTACTAATGTATGAAAAAATTGTTTATCGATTCGGTTTGCAGCTCTAATGGATCGGTCTGAGTCAAATCAAAGTTCCCCAA